ATGTGTCTTTAATGAGCGTACAAAACGAGTTCAGTGAGAAAAGAATGAAGCCCCAAATGATATATGGCACCACAGCTAAAAGCAGATGCAATAATCAAGATCAGACCACTGATCAGCCCATAAAAATCAGTTTTCATAGACAGTCTTGCTTATTGGTATGTGAAAATTAAAATAGTTGAATAGCACCTGCTGATGGGGTGCCAACATTTAGAATTTACCTATAAATGGTAAATATCTTATTTGTATTTATACACAGATATATGTGGAAACGAGAACAGCCAATTCTGAAGAATGCAAAAGTCGACGCTCTGCGGACAACTGAACCATCAACCCCGCTCCACAGCCCGTACGAGAATTCTCCACATTCTCCACGGGGCCACTCGATACAGACTGACTTATGCAGCTAATTTTAAAGAGACCATTCTAAGGAATCATTCGCTCCCAAGCATGTGCCACAAGTAATACCGCATTTGCAACTATTTTTAAGGTCAGGATTCTAATAGCACCTCCATAAGGACCCTCCGCTCGGCAGCTGGTCAAAGTTGCACTGATTTAACCCATAGAGGCTCAAAAAACAACCGATTTCCATAGATTTTTTTCCACTCCTTTGTTATCCCCAGGTCGACTCATGTACCTATATATCATACCAAAAACCGTTTTCAAAAGTGCTTCACGTGCCGAACGTCCTCTCTGATGACACTGCTACGGTTAAATGGAAGGCTTGCGTTCAGAAAACTGAGTTCAGCTCAGAGAACAAGAGAAAGTAGAGATCGGTCTTCCTAGTCTTCACTAAACCACGAATTGCCGGCGCCACGTCCTGTTCATTGAAGAAGGAATGTTCAGATCGCCGAGAAAACGGCCGACAACTTGATATCATTACATCAGCTACGAGTCCGTTTCCGTTAGTGGAATTCTGCCTCTGGATGCTCTGTGAAAGTGGCGGAGGGCCACCTCTACCTCGGCCCTTAGTTTCTTTGATCTGATCGGGGGTCTTTTGATTCCTACATCCATTTGACCTTTACACTTTCAATGTTATTCCGAGAACCGTTTACCAGTATTTGTCTCATTAATGGTGTTGAACTTGGCTGTGAAACCGACGCATGTGGACTTGGAATCAGCTGGCGAGCGGTGGGCAGGGTACAGCACGGTGATATGTGAACTTCCCCCCTCTCTGGCTACCACCCCTCCCCCCTCACCGGCTTTGATTGTTTGCTTTGGCGAGAAGATACGTGACGGCACGCAAGCGCTTGCGGCTGCTTTGTGATTCAATGGCAAATTAGCGGAGAAGCAGGGCCAGGTGGACAGAACTTTAAGAAGACAGTTTTTTCAGGTGTGAGGCTTTTGAGAAGTAGAAGGCGGCATGTTGAAGCAATCTCTCTACTGTGGCGTTTCCCAAGTACTTACAGTCTGCATCTTCCCCCGTTCATGAAATATTTCAGATGGGTTACGGGCGCGTTATTGGTGAATGGTGTGTGAGTTTTAATGCTTCAGACGAGAATAACTGCTTTCAAGCGCAATCTTTTGCAAATCTCAACGCCTTACCAGAAGCCCAATATTTTCTCATAAGCTATACAGTTTTTCTGAGGAACAGCTAGTTTGAAAGATATTCCGGATGGGTCATTACAGTTTTTCTGAGGAACAGCTAGTTTGAAAGATATTCCGGATGTGTCATCCTTAGGCGACATTCTGAGTCACTCGAAAGCTCGATGGCTTCAGTGCAGTTGTGAAGATACTCATTCGCGAACTTCAATATGCCTCCAGAACACATATTCCCGTTGAACTGAGTCAAAGCATAGTTTGATTTTCAGTAACTTCTGATTTCATTCAATTTTTGTCCACACAAGCAGACATTGTTTGGGATTTGGGAAGATGGATACGCATGAATCTGTTTGAGATGTACTATTTGTATATTTCATGCTAACTACAGATACTGCTAATCATTGCTATCATTGTTTAAATATTTTGTATGAACTGAATGCTGCCCACCCAGCCTTTTTGCTTTTTCTTGCTAATTCTCCGACTAGATCATTCCTTATATTCAACTGGCTCCCGAGGTAGACATATTCTTTGACGTCTTCGACTGAGCTTTCTTTCGAGGTGACGGTCGCACCTTCTGCGAATCGGTTTCGTATAACTTTAGGTGGTTACCTTCGACCTTACTGACCATGATGCTGTCTATACCCTTCCTGGTATAGACAGCATCTCAGAAGCGTCTTGGCGAGTTATCAGTCAGAACGACGTCATCTGAGAGTCAAAGGTGTTTGGAAAGAAAACTGTCACTATTCAATGCAAAGTAGCTCCGCTCGCAGCGGTGTGTGACAGATACTAAACACGTGGAAATTAGACTGGGCGGAATCGGATCACCTTCGTCGTTCATCGTACACCCTTCTCAACTGGTACTCCCACGTAGCTGAAAACGGAGCGGAAGGTGATTGTCCATTCGGTGTAGTATTCCTGCAGTATATCTATGTGCCAGGTCGGCGAAATTGAGCATTTTCGACAGCCTCTCCATTCCTAATTAGAAAGCTAAAGCCGCATGAGCCTAGCTGCTGAGTATATGACTAGGGCTATGTCTCTTAGGAATGCTTATATGATTCGAAGATTTCAATTTCGACCTCACAGACAAGCATCGAACCTAATGCCCCATTCTGTCGAACTGAGAGCTTACGGAATTACCTTATTAACTGCGAACCATGCCAAAAATTGAGGGATCGTTAGAGGTCATATACTGCTTCCTTATCATTATCAACCACCACCCCCAGTTGATGTTAGACTTTCGAAGAAAGGTGGGTAAGTTCTGGAGGCAGTCCCTCCCTTGGAGGGCCCATAAGCGTGCACATTTACAAGGTTTAAAATCCTGTCGTGATCGCTTGAAAGATATTCAAGCTGTCATGAAGCGCATCTTTCTTTGTTCAAATATATCCCAAGGTTTGAGCTTCTTCTGCAGATTGCTAGCCGAGATCAAATGCAAAAGTAGTTGTCGAAAACTCACTTTCGGGCCGACCCGAATTTCCCTTTTATTTATTTATTTATGCGTACAATGAGACATTGTACGCATAAATAATTATTTATGCGTACAATGAATACAGATCAGTACAACGGTCCGTGCGGGAGATCAGTAACAGAACACAGTGATTTTAGAATCAAACACAAAGGAAATGATAGAAAACAAAAATTTAAGGAGACAATAAAACGAATCAGAAAAATAGATAAAATAGACACACGAAAAAGGAAAGCGCGAGGAGGAACTACCATGTGACCAAAAACATTCATGCCTTGGAAATCTATGTAAGAGGATGCACTAGAAGTAGACGAGACTCAGACAGAAGGGCTACAGCGCCTTATGATAAGCGCCTTATGTAACTGCTCGAAATGAAGAGTGGCATGTGTGTGGGCACGTGAAGCTAGAAAGAATAAACAACACGAACAGATCTGTCCCGGGGCGGTTTCGAACTAACAGCATGACTTTGGATTGAGCTGTTATCCAAGAGGTAGGGTTTCTAAGGAGCACTGACGCTAGCGCCTACACCAGCCGGTCATTGTGTCCTTACGCCACATCCGGGGTCATGGGATTTCGCCGGAACTTCGTAACATGGATATGCCGGCTCCCCACGTAGAACCGGCAAAACAGGCAAAAGCGCGAATGTGCTGTCAATCATTCCCTACCACAGCCTTAGTAAGTAGCCCATGAGTGGATGCTACGACAAGTTCGCCTGCATTTGATGTCTCTGCGAATGGTGGACAATCTGCGTAGATCTGATTTCGGCTTCTTTCCCATGATGCCACTCTTAACCAGGAAGGACCGAAAAAAAGAGTATCTTCAAAAGCATTCGAAGAGTAAACGCGTCTACGGTACATCTTCAACCCGAGGGCTTCCAATACGTTAATCTTATTCAGCTCTCTTTTGGAATGGGGGAGTCTTTGCAAAAGGAAAGAGAGGGAGGCAGGTTCGAGAGCCAACGAGTAGTCCGCAAAATGAAGCTGTTATGTCGCAGCTGCCCGTGAAACTTTCCCATTTTGTGCCCAAATGCCAAAGGACACCCTTGACGACCACTGGAGGGACGGAAAGTCCAAATCTTTGCAGAACCAAGACGCGTCTCCCCTCTGAGGATCTTAAAAGCAAAAACTAAGTCTGAAGGTATTCTTCTATGGCAAAGACTTTTCAAATTGAGTTAACGAAGTTTCGCACTATAGGGAGGAATGGTTCTAGAGTAGCTTGCACTGGGAAAAGCCTTATAATATAGAATTCTGGTGAACGTTTTCTGCACTTTCTCAAGTTTTTTTTGATATCTTTGACCAGTACAGGGCTTCAGATGGGGCTACAATACTCTACAATAGGAAGGATATAAGACTTGTAGAGTCATATCCATACCTCAACGTCAGAGCAATGGATATTCCTGAAAAGGTGGTACACCAAACTCAGGGCTCTATTGCTAACTTCCTCAACATGTGTGGTCCAGCTCAAATTCTCGGAAAACCTGACTCCCAACGCCTAATGCGTGTCTTATCCGAGAAACAGATTTCAAGAGGAGAGGATCAAAGTGAAAATGCTACAGTTTTACTTGGTTTTATTGCTAGGTCCCAATTGTGGGCCCACGCGAGCATCTTGTCAACAGAGCTATTCATCGCTTGCTGGACAACTAGTCTATCTTCTTCTCTATAAATACCCGCAACTTTGTTATCGTCCGCGAAACCGGCAACCATTAGTCTGCTATCTGTAATGAGGGATCCGAGCAGGTCGTGAGTGTATATGAGGAATGGGAGAGGTGAAAGCATTTCCTCCTGGGGACGGCAGACGGACATTCTCTAGCGGTTGATAAGTAGTCGCCCACGCGAACATTCATCCTCCAGCGGGTAAATATGATTTGAACCAATAGAACCCAGTGTTTCTGACTTCAATGCTCTCAAGCTTGGCTAGCAGGAGATAATGATTGATTTTATCGAAAGCCTTGCTCAGGTCAAAATATACACTGTCGACATTTTTGCCTTGATTTAACGCTTCAATCCAGGTGTGTGAACACAAGTAACTGAGTGTAAGTAGATGCTCCGGGGATGAAGCCATGCTGCTCCACAGGGACGAGGTGCAGCTTGGTGACCCACTTCAACAGTTCGTCCTTGACAAGCCTTTCAATAACTTTCAGCGGAGCTGGTAAGATACTTATTGGCCTGGCTGGAAATAAGGCGTGCATTGCCTGTTTTAGGTATGGGTGTGACATAAGAGTTTTCCAAATTTTAGGAACTTGACCCAGAATCAAGGATATATTGCGAACATGGGTAACAGGGACTGCAAAATACTTAGAAAATTGCTAGAAAAAGAATTGGGGTACCCCGTTCGCTGTTGGCGACAACGACGGCTTCACCGCGCTGAGAGATCTGAGCACCTTTCGATACGATACAGTTGGTAGTTCAATGTGGGTTGAAGAGAGACTTGGCAGAGTGGGAAATAAAGGTGACTTTTCAAATACACTTGCAAAGTAATCCGCTAACGCCTCTGCCTTGGCACTATCTGTGGTATACTTGATGCCTTCCGAGTCCTCAAGGACCTTGTGCAAGATAGGCGATTATTTCACCTTATTTATGTTTTCATAAAGCCTTATCATATGATTACGTGCAGCCATTTTCTTAACCTTGTAAGCTAGGAAGCGCTTCATATAAAATTTTGGTTCTTTTGATACTTTTCGAACAACGGACTCCTAGAAGGCTCTGCAAGTGTATGAAAGAACCTATCACGTTGTTCAAAAAGGTTCAGAACATGTTTTGGATACCTACTGGAGGAGTGTCTCTCGAGCTCGAGGGGTACATGGCCATCGATGATGTCTTGAAAGATGGCAATGACCGGAAGTAAACATCATCAATTTCAATAAGAGTTAAAGACACTGCACCAGTCCATAGTAGTGAGATCATGAACAATTTTGTCATTATCCGCATTTTTGAAATCTCTTCTGAGAAACACCTCCTTCCTGGGCATAGGAGCCGACAATTGAAACGAAATTACATTGTGTGACAAGATCCGAGTTTGACAAGGGAGCATGAGGGGACACATAGGAAATATTCTGCTGATCCGATAGTATGATATCAAGTATGCTATTTTCTCTCGTAAGGAGATAATGCTATTTTCTCTCGTAAGGAGATATCAAGTATGCTATTCTAGTAGGGGAAAATCACAAATTGACTCAAAAATAAGGTATCAAAAAAAAGTCAGAAATTTCTGCGCCTCCGGTTGCAAAGCCACATGAGATTCCCAATTTATATTAAGGTTCAGGTCTCCAAGAACAGTCGAGTTGAAAGTTGTCGTTGACACGAGATCTTGTGTGATTTGAATCAAGTCTTCATCTTGTGACGAACGGGGAGGGCGATAAACTAAGATCAATCCGTGCTTAAAAGGGCGAGGCAAATAGACATCTAGACATAAAGCATCTGAGCTCAGCGAACAGTGATCAAAGACCACTTTCTCAAACAAAAGAGAATTGTGCATAAAAACGCATTCTCCACCACCCACTCTGCCAGACCTGTCTTGCCGCACAGTCGTATATGGGATATCAGAACAGAGTTCAGCGTCAGAAATATCGTTGTTCAGCCAAGTCTCAGTGACGAAAATTATTGCCGGTGTCGTGGATCCAATCAGGCAGTGTAAATGATGGATTTTTTTGACCAGCTTCTAGCATTCAACAAACGACAGTTCAAAGAACGCATTTCAGAGGAAACTAGTTCTTTGAAAGAGATAATGAAGAGTTTCTGTTCCTTTTTAGTGAGGGAATGTCGGAAACTTTCACGATTTCTCCTCTGCATACGACATAAACACGCTCACCTATAAGTTCTTTCAAGTTCAACTCATGCGCATTGATCCGTAGGTCGCGGTCTACTTTACGCTCATCTATGGACATCGATTTGTGTATGAAGATGCCCTTATAAGGTTCCATGGCCCGTAGTCTGTGCGCCTTAGATAGTTTCAAAAAGAAATCTAGAGCAGAAAAAACGCATTTCACTAGACGTGGTTTACCCTATGACTTTACCCATCCTGTAGACTTTGACAGGCCGGGTTTCTATGTCGAGGGCATCGAGTCTGCTGGATATGACCTTCTCCGTATGAGCTTGACGCAAAGACGGAGATAGGCCACATTCAGTTTCAGGCACCCCACACAGGACTATGCACCTTTCTTTTTTATCCCTCTCAACAACACTATTAATGAGCAAGGGCAACTTACTTAAGAATTGGTCCAAGAGCCCAACGACTTTAGGAGCTTTGATTGAAAGAATATCGTTAATTTTTCTGAGAAGGATATACTGTCGTTGCCCAGTATAGAGCTAGCCATGATTTGAGTCATAAAAGCAGTTTTCGAAGATACAGTCTGACCAGGTTCATAGGCGATAGGTTGGGGATACATCAGAGCCGATTGATTAGCCGACCGCACAGGGCGAACGCAAGACGTGAATGATGAGATGAAAATCGACAGAAATCGAGAAATCGTAAGAAGGCAATTGTATTATCCTATAGTGCGGGAAATTATCTTTTGAACAGCATAGAACATATTGGGAGAGATCGTCATTTTTTATATTAAAATTTGTGTGGCAAAAGAAAACGCCATCACTTATGGGCCAACCCAATAGATCTTCTCCACACTTCGCTCTTCCAACGCCTCCCCAACCTTCACCGGCTCCACCAAATCAAAACTCCTTCTGTAGTCGACGAATACAAGAGGTATGTGGCACTCTCGAGCTGCTTCCCTGAGACATTAGCTGTTGCGATGTAGTAGAGCGTGCTATTGAAAATTGAAATTTCTCGGGAATCCAGTTTGCTCAGCGGCTGACCCTCCTTTATATCCTTCAGATGCGCGCCACTATGCAATGAGTGCATTTTGCAAAACATCGGCGAAAGCATAATGGGCCGGTAATTCGAGAGCTGATCACAGATCTTCGAACGCAGGTAAGAGGCCTTCGTGACGGGCCGAAATTGGGTTGGAGAATAAGTTCGATTGGTTTCTTCAAAGAGCTCCATTCAAATGATCAGTTGTTTGGCAAAATGTCTGCATACAATGGAAAGTACCCTTTCGGCTCTACAAAAGTGTGCTATTTGTTTATTACTACAGTTTCCTTTTTTTCATTTTTCAGGCTAAGGAATTTAATACCCAGGAGGCAAAAATCATCATTTTCGACACCTACTTTTTTCGCTTATCATCGCGGTCAAAGAGCAGCTGAAGCCACTCGTGATAAATATATAGGGTTTGGTTCACATAAGATTTGGGTTCCTCTGAAGGGTTAGGCGATCTAGGCTCCGCCCTTTGACCACGCCCACTTGCTGTTGCAAAATTTTGATATTCCTTCAAAATTTTTGCGTTTTTGCTCTGCTACGTGAAGCTCCTCCTGCACGGGTGTGCACGTCCCCGCCCACTCCGAAGAAGCCCCGCCCACTTTCCAACTTTTCACTGATTTGCGGATAAATCAGGCATATTTTGTTCCGAGTGACGGACGAGAACCTAACATGCAAGCGGAGACTCTATACTGCCGATTTGCACCATTTTTGAAAAGCGGGCGGGGCTTCTTCGGAGACTTCTTCTGACGAAAGTTGCTTATTGGCATCAGGGAAACTGGAGCGGTTACAGAATGAATGTGCCAGAAATGCCCAGAAGAGGCTTTGTACAGGAAAATGTATCAGAACATGAATTGAACGGCAACCCATGGCTGCCATTTTTCGGAGTCAGCTCAACGTGTCCGATCTGGTTAGGAACCTGACACCCCGTCGCGAATATGATTCTCGCTAAACGCGATAACGCTTTTAGATTCTCCGCGGCCACCCATGACCTTTATTGTTCTAGGTCACAAGCGCAGCGGTAGCTGCGTGGAAACACTTTCTCAAGCAAGTTTATAAGACACCTAGCGTTCTATGTGGCACAAAAGAGCCTTTCAAAATTTATCTATTCATTTGGTAAGCTGCCATCTATGTTCATGAAGATATGTTGCCCATACTGCTTTGACAACAGCCGTGACAACACTTTCTGAAGTGAAGGACAGTGCGACTGAAAGCTTACAAAGAATTGTATTACTAGTTTATGTGCTTTCGAGGTTGATAGGCGGGACTTTCCCTCAACGGTTAACGTTTTGACTGAATCCTCGTCTTCGTGGCCTAGACATGATACAAAGGTTGAACCTATGCTGTAATCTACCAAGCCCCTCAACTGCTCTTGCGTTTCTGACATGGGGACAGAAAACTCGAAGAGAATTCCACCAAACGCATAGAAACGAACACACCTGGGGTTTCACCGTATGAGTAGATAAATATGCCACACTAGCGTTAGTATGAAGCGATTAGTACATACTTATGCAGTGGCGCACATCAGTTCCTCTGTATCGTGATACGATACTGATGATAACAAGGAGACACACTTGGTGATGTACTACTTTACAGCTCGCAGTGTGGTAAGAACGGCGAAAACTCACTCGTGATCGAATGACGCTCATCTCGGCTGTTCATCACTGGATTTCGTGAGAAAATCCAAAACACCTCTACGGTTTAAGGGTCAGCCCAACTCCAGTCACTAGTTAAGGATGTTAAATACATTGTAAAGACGTATGGGTGCCTATAATGCTGCCATAGTCAGCTTTACGCTGTCAAATCACTGCATTCTGGCCATTCGGCTACAAGAGAATTTCTGGGAGCGAGCGCACAGTGTGGAACGTATACCTTAGGAGGCAGCCTGCATCATAGAGGATGTTCAGAATTTTGAATATGAGGAAGCAACGGCGTCTCACTATGAGAAAACCCTTTGCAAAATGTTGAGCGGACGTCAATGCTCTCCAGAATTCCAAACCTTACCCGGAGTAAATGAGGCATTCGAAATGTGAAGCGAAAGTCATCTAGCTAATAGACAGGAAGAATGCATCAAGGTACATTCGATATCCCGGATATGGAGAGAGCGTGACCGCGTACCCACTTGTACATGACGGTGGCTGCGCTTTTGATTCGCCGTTTCGAGACAGTTGTAATCACGTCCTTGTATCATACCAGACAGGATGACAGTTGTCTCAAATAGAAATGTGCAACGAAAAACGAAACCCACACCATGTTCAAATGAAGAACGTAGCCACGTCTTCCACACATCCGGGATATGGAGTGTAATGAGGAGTGAATAGCCTTATGTTAGAGGTGTGTCCCTCCTCAGGGATCGTTTTTTTTCTACGAACTTGATTTTCGCTCGAATGTAATAATCGGTCAGTTGCTAAAAAGGATTGCTTTTCGCATTTTGCATAGAATTATCCATACTACCGCTAATACATTTAATGTTTTTGAATGAAAATACTGTTTTGTAGAACAGGGAGCGAAAAATCGCTGCGCGAGCTTTCGAGGCCCTTTAGCCTATTGGGAATACTGTGAATTAGCAAACAGCACCGACCTCAGCATTCCAGCAGAACCGTGCAGTCCTTTTCGAAAGGCATTACCTTGATTGTGAACAGCAAGATCACAGCTAGATCGGAGTGCGTACGATTGGGTTGGATTACAAGAAGAATCCAAGTCCTGTCTAAAAACAAGTCGATAATTTTTCACTCCGTGGATCTTGGTGAGTATGATCTAATCTTCACCGACTACGGTGACCAACTATATTTGAATAGCCACAATTGTCTGTAATGCTCTTCACCTTATATACGCAACTTTGACTTCAGCATCGTGAAGGTGTGATCTATTGCCATCATAACCATGCTGCTCGTCGAGTAGTTCTTCTAACCCATATTCCATTATAGTCTTCTGGGGATGGCTCACCTTCTTACACTTCAATTTCTTAATGACTTCCAATAGTTCAGAGATGTTACGTTTCTCCGTGTCTAAATGAAAATTTCCTTTAACAACGAGCAGCAATGTAGAGAAAAGAAGTCAGCACCAAACCCCGTATTTGAACGTTGGTCTAGCATCGCTCACTTCGGACTTT